ATTGCTGCATAACAAATCACCACAAACTTAACAGCTGAAAACTCATTTATTAACTCACAGCTCTATAGGTCAGACATCTGGCACTGTATGATTGAGATATTTGCTCAGTGTACCATAAGACTGAAATCAAGGGGTCAACAAGGCTGAGTTGTCATCTGGAGGTTCTGAGGGAAAATCTGCTTCCAAACTCATTGTTTTTATTAGAAAAATTTAGTTCCTTGTGGTTGTGGGACTGAGCTCCCAATTTCCTTCCTAGGTGTCATGGGGGGAGAGCATGTTAGCTACCTAAGTCTGCCTGCATTTCTTGCCACGTGGCCCCTTCTTACTTCAAGCCAGTAACAATGCATCTAGTACTTCGCATGCTTCAAATTTCAAAATTCTTTCATCTTTGACCTCTAGATCTATATTTATAGGTTTCATGTGATAGGTTCACCCAAATAGTATCCTTTTCTTAAAGTCAACATAATATAACTGTCATGGGAGTGATATATTCTCTATTATATCCACAGTCCCAGAGAATATACAGGATTATCCAGAAGGAAGGAATCCTGGGGAATATTTTAGAATTCTGCCTACCACAGTAAACTTTAAAGCAAGAAGCATTATCAAATGTAAAAGGGACTATTTTAAAATAATAAAAGGATGAATCCATAAGAATTTTGAGTTCAGGGCCCCAAAATACACGAAGAGATAGACAATTCTGCAATAAGTGGAAGAAAATATAACAAACCTCTCACTGCAACTGATTTTAAAATTAAAGGAAAAATCCATAACAATAAAGAAAGTTTTGAACAGCATGATTAATAAGTATGACTTAACTGACATATTTAAAACATTACACTCTACAGTTCAAGAATGTACATTCTTTTCAAGTGCACATGAGACACAGGCCAAAATTGACCATATGCAGGACCATAATAAAAGTGCCAATAAATGTCACAGGATTGTAATCATATATAACATGTTCTCTGACCACAGGGGAATTAAACTAGGAACGAATGACAAAAATATATAAAGAACATTCACAAGTTTTCAAAATTAAGCAGTCTATTCCCAACTAGCTTACTGGTTAATAAGCAAATCACAATGTAAAATTTTAATATATCACAAACAGAAAGATAGTGAAACTAAAATATAACATGTGGATAAATCTAAATTTATGTTTAGAGGTAAGCTTATACCCATGTTATATGTTTATATAAGTTAATATAAATTTATACCCATGCATGTTAATAAGAAGACTAAAAATTTAATGATCTAATTATCTATCTTAAGAAGTTAAAAAGGATAAAAAATTATTCCCCCAAAAGTAACAAGGAAAATAATACTGTTAAGAACAAAAATTAATGAAATAGAAAGAAAATGTACAATAGCAAAGATTTACAAAGCCAAAGTTGGTTTATGGAAATAAATAATAAAGTTGCTAAAGGTATGTACAAGATTGTCAAGAAACACAGAAGAAACAAAATGGAACAATCATAAATTTATGGAAATCAAGCAACACACTCTTAAACAACCAACAGACCAAATGAGAAATCACAAGGGAAATTAGAAAATACTTTGATATAAATAAAAAGAAAAATAATAGCATGGAGATATAGCAAAAACAGTACTCATAGGGGAATTTATAGCTGTAATCACCTACATTAAAGGAAGAAGAAAGTTCAATAACCTATCTTTACACCTTGAGGAACTAGAAGAAAAACTGATACCAGCAGATATAAGAAATAATAAAAATTCGAGCAGAGATAAACAAAACAGAGAATAGAAAAGCAATAAAGGAATTCAATGAAACCAAAAGTTTGTTCTTTGAAAATTTCAACAGAATTGACAAAACTTCAGTTAGAGTGACTCAAGAAAAAAAATGGGGGACAATTATTAAAATCACAATGAAAAATGAGTATAATACTGTCAATCTTACAAAAATAAAAAGGATTATAAGAGAATACTGTAAACAGTTCTATGCCAACAAATTAAATAACCGAAATGAATGAATAAATTCTGAGAAATTCACAAACTATCAAAACTGACTCAAGAAGAAATAGATAATCTGAACAGTTTTATAACGAGTAAAGAGATTAAATCAGTAATTGAAACCTTCCATCAAAGGAAAGACCAGGACCAGATGGCTTTGTGATGAATTCTATCAGTCATTTAAATAGGTAACACCAAATGCTTTTCAAACTTTTCCAAAAAATAGAAGGGAAAACGTCCTAACTCATTATCTGAGGCATCATTCTAATACCAAACTAGACAAAGACACTGAATGAAAAGAAAACTGCAACAATATTCCTTATAAATATAGATTCAAGTATACTAAACAAAATATTAGCAAACTGAATCTTACAGCATATTAAAAGGATTATAAACTGTGATCAAGTGGGATTTATCCTAGGAATACAAGAGTGTTTCAACATATAAAAATCAATGTAATACCCACACTAATAGAATAAAGGGGAAAAAACACATAGTCATCTCACGTATAAAAAAAGCATTTGACAAAATTAAACACCACTTTCACGATTTAAAACTGCAACAACAGCAACATGCAGAAAACTAGGAGCAGAATGGAACTTCCTTAACCTGGTAAAGGGCATTTTTGCAAAACCCACAGGTAACGTCATATTCAATGGTGAAAGACTAAAAGCTTTCCCTCTGAGATCAGGAACAAGACAAAGATTTCTGCATTTGCTACTTCTATTTCTTATTGAACCAGAAATTCTAGCCAGAGGAGTGAGGCAGGAAAAATAAAAGGGCATTTGCAAGAAAAATAAAAGGGCATTTGCAAAAATGCCCTTTACCAGGTTAAGGAAGTTCTATTCTACTCCTAGTTTTCTGAGTGTTGCTGTTGTTGCAGTTTTAAATAAAAGACATCACAATGGAAAGGAAGAAGTAAAATTATATCTATTTGCAGATGACATAATCTTATATATATGTTAGTGTGTTTCTATATACTAACAATGAACAATCTGCAAAGAAAATTAAGAAAGCAATTTTATTTACAATAGCATCAAAAAATAAAATACTTATAAATAAATTTAACCAAGGAGATAAAAGCCTTGTGCACTGGAAACTATAAAACTTTGCTGAAAAAAATTAATACACAAATAAGTGGAATCATTCCATGTTTATGAATTAGAAGGCAATATTATTAAGATGGCAGTATCTCAAAGTGATACAGATTCACTACAATTCATATCAAAATCCCAATGATCTTTTTGCAGAAATGAAAAAAGTTTATCCTAAAATTCATATGAGATGGCAAGTGACCCAAAATAGCCAAAATCATCTTAAAATAGACCAAAATTGAAGGACTTACACTTCTCAATTGTAAAATTACCTACACAGCTACAGTAATCAAAACAGTGTGGTACTGACATAAGATCAGATTTATAATTTAATGGAATGGAATTGGGAGTCCAGAAATAAAACCATACATCTATGACTAATTGGTTTTTCACAATGGTGTCAAGCCTATTTAATGGGGCAAACAATAATCTCATCAACAAATGGTGTTGGGAGAATTGAATATCCACATGCTAAAGAATAAAGTTGGACCCTTATTACCTCCTAGCATATACAAAAATTAACTCAGATGTGGTCAAAGATGTAAATTTACAGCTAAGACTATAAAACTCAAGAAAACAGGGATAATATTTCCTGAATATGATTGTGGCTGTGGCTCTTAGATATTACACCAAAACATAGAAATTATAGGAAATGGATGCTGGATTACTAGCATGGCAGCTCAGACAGCAGGAGAATTTTCAGGGAAAAAAAAAGGAAGCAGAAAAATGCTCCTAAACACCAAGGGGCTCCTCTATGGAACCCATGACCAAGTCAATAAAAAGCAACTCCTGTCTCCCTTCCCCAGTCTCTCCGGCTTTCTTTTCTATTATCTACCTGCTTCATCCCAGCCAGAAGAGAGCCTGTAAGCTCCCCATCTGTCTTCAGAGCAAAAGAGCTTGGACACCAGGAAGAATAGGCTGTAAGATCACTTCCTTGGGAGGGTGGCTCAGTGCCCTCACTGGCTCCATTCCAGTTCAGCAGAATCTTGCTATGGGATATTTACCCACTCCTTTGCAGGCCATAGAACTGGCCCAACTATGAGCAGTAGCTGCTCTGCCAACATGAGAAAGGGGCAGCAGTTTTCCTAGTTTTAGCTATGCACTCAACCCTTTAACGGCCCATACACAGCTCAGGCTTCATGCAATTATGCATTTAATAAATGTACTGAAGAAAAAGGGGAAAAAGCATAAGCAACAAAGAAAAAAATAGATAAAATGGTCTTCACTATCAGGTGAAAAGGTAACAGTGAATGGAAGAAACTTTTAAAAATCATATATCTGATAAGGGTTTAGTATTCAGGATATATAAAGAACTCTTACAGCTCAAAAACAAAAAGACAAATATACCAATTTTTTAAAAGTGGGCAAAGGATTTGTATAGATTTTTTTCAAAAAAAGATATACAAATGGTTAATGAAAAGATGCTCAACATCATTAGTCATTGGGGAAATGACGATTATTTGTAGACGATTTCTTATAGAATTACCATTATACCTATTATCAAATAATGATACAACTCTAGATAGGTTTAAGGATTTGCTTTTTATATTTTTATGCTCAACTTTAATTCCGCTATGATATTCATTTCAAAATTATTTTAATGTAATCTAACTCAGGTCTCTTTATTCAGTGAAAACAATTTTATATAAAATTATACTGTTCATTCTTCACAGATCAGTTTTCATTGTTATTACATATAAAATATTCTTACAATAAATCTAAGTAATTATTGTCTTTTTCTAAAATTTAGATTCTTGTGTGGTATTTAAAAAATAAACCATTGTTTTAAGCTTAGAAATGGTTTAGCATACATTAGTTTTCATTGAAATGGTATTTTTAAACCAAATTTTAATAGTAATTCAAGTTTTTATACATTTAGAACAATTATGATTTTTATTTACCATACTTAATGCTAATTTATTTCTTATCTAGTCATGCAGATGGATCGATAAAGTTTTGGGATGCTTCTGCAAGTAAGTTTTAAGTTTCTCCTTATATTACAGAAAACACTTAGTTAATATTTACTCATAGCCATTGACCACTTTTTAGTTTGGACAGTTAATATTTTTGATACATATTTAGCATACACATATGGCTGTGTTACAAAAATGCATTTCCTATATTATTGAATCAGTCTAAAGTATTATCTCTACTGTACTTTTATGATATAAACAGACACAACTGAAATCACTCTTTATCAGCAACCTATTATATTTATGAGGTAATGTACATTGGAAAAAGTACCAAACTTTGTCAGACTAACTCTTTTCAAGGAATTTCCTTCACCTCCTCACTCTTAGAAAAGTGCTTTTATCCCACTAGTCTTCACTTTTCTTTGCCACTTGTCTACCAAGTCCATGAGAATCAAAAGAAATAATTTGATAAATGTAAAACTTCTTTTGAAATCTTGAGAATTACATAATTTAAGGACTACAGGTACTCTGTTCAATGTTGAAGGGCATGCAAAGATTTAAGACTTGATTATACCCATACATACCCTTCAGAGAACTTACAGGGCAAACAATATGATAAGAACTCTAAATGTAGTACAACCCAAATTCTATTTTTTATCGGAAATGGGAGATTTATTTGAACCAGGTAGATCCAGGAAGGGTATTTTGGTGGGGTGACATTTAATGTGAGTTTTGGGAGATAGTTAAGATTTTGATAGTCAGGACTAGGAGGAGAAGAAGTGAGCAATGTCTCTAAGTTTCTGAGTAACCATCAAGATAGAGATAACTCTTTGGAAATAAGGATACAGAAGAGTTCTGGAAGTTTGGATTTTGTTGGAACACCAGGAAATTCAAGTAAAACTGTCTATCAGGAAGGGAGAACAGTCAAGAATGGTAACTAATTAAGAAGCAGCATAGAAGTGATACTTGAAGCTATAGAAGTGAATTGAGAAAGACTGATAAACAGAAAAGCAGAGGGAAGAAGGTTGAACATTAGTGATAATCTTCGTCTGCAATCTAGAGTCCTTTAGCAGTGGAGCAAAGCATCAGCAAGAGGAAATGATTAAAAGATTTAAAGCCATGAAATCTGAGGGCCCTTTCTGACCTCACACAATAAAGATCAATTGTTCAGGGGGAAATTCCAAGGGACAACAGATTTTTTATTTTTATGAACCTTTTCATGTAAATCTGAATTTGTTCCACGAACACAGTTAATTGTATAGTTACAATTACAACGAGCAAACATCTTTGCTCGTTTTCCACCACCTCAGAGTCACTCCTTAGCTTCTAAAATGTGAGAAGACACTTTAACACTCTAATGACTGAAGTGCATACCACCCTTAAGCATGCACGATAATATTTTAAGAAGTTAATTTTAAATAAAATATTTTATTACATTCAGAACATATGTTGCAGAGGTTTGCAGCATGTTTAATATTTTTACTGTAATCAATTATAAGGGCATATCTCCAAATCGATGGATGTCATTGGAGAAATATCACTTAATTTGCCAATTTTGTGGGATAAGGTCCAGTACAGGAAATGAGGTTATACCGAATTTGAAAGTTGAGTTTATGTTAATATGTGTACCGTTGACCTTGAACAACATGGGAGTCAGTCAGATTGTGCCAACCCTCTACACAATCTGAGCATAACTTATAGTTGGGGCATAATTTATAGTTGGCCCTCACTATACACTATTTCTCTGTATCTGTGGTTCAGCATCTGAGGATTCTATCAACCTCAGATTGTGTAATACTGTAGAATTTACTATTGAAAATTATCTGAGAATAAGTGGACCAATGCATTTCAAACCCATACTCTTCAAGGGTCAACTGTATTCATCTTCAGTTGCTGAGTATTAAATTACCACAATTTAGCAATTTAAAACAAAACCCATATACTGTCTCACAGTTTCCGTGTGTCATGAATCTGGTTCAGGTTAGCTGAGTTCTTCGCTTAGGGTCTCAGAGACTGCAGTTGAGGTGTTGGCTAGGACTGCAGTTTCACCTGCAGCTCAGAGTTCTGTTCCAAGCTTTTGTGGTTGTTGGCAGAATTCATTTTCTTGCAGCTTTAAAACTCGTGATTTGTTTCTTCAAGGCCAGCAAGGGAGTGTCTCTCTAACTTCAGGGAAGGCCCTGATCCCTCTTTTAAAGGGCTCACCTGATTCTGTCAGGCCTACTAAGGATAATCTCTGTTGATTAACTCAAAGTTAAATAATTATGTCTGCAATATTCTTTAATATTTCCATGTCACATCAGGCTTACAGAAAAATCATAAAAACATACTATGAACTGTTGTATAGCCTTCAGCCAGATTCCCCAAATATCTATGTATGCATGTGTTCCCTTCACCCGCCCTCCTCTCAATCTAGCACTTGCTTGCTCCTTCTCTCTCTCTTCCCTTCCCTCCCCGCTTCCTCCCTCCCCCTCCCTCCTGTCCTCCCCCACCCTTTAGTCTTCCTCTCTTCCCTCCATTTTCTCACACACACACACACACACACACATATACATATATACATATATATATAGCTTTTTCTAATCATTTGAGAGTAAGTTGCAAACATCATGCTCCTCTAACAGTACATGCCCCCCTAAATACTTCAGTGTATACGTCCTACAAACAAGGGCATTCTTCTATATAATCGAATTATAGTTATCAAAATCAGGAACTTAATATTAATACAATACTATTATCTAACTTCCACATCTGACTCAGTTTTAGCCAGTTGTTCCAATAATATCTCTCATAATAAAAGAAAATCTAGGATTATTTGTTGGATTTAGTTATCGTATCTGTTGAGTTTTCTTTAGTCTGGAATGGTTGCTGAGTATTTGAAATTGACATTTTTAGGAGTTCAAGCCAGTTATTTTGTAGAATCTCTTCCAATTTGTGTTTGACTAATGTTTCTCATGATTAGGTTCAGATTATGCACTTTTGGCAGGAACTCCTCGAGTTTTAGAATGTTTCTCAAGGATCCTTTGTAGAATCAGAGCTTTTATATAGTGGAGTTATCATCAGGTTCTAAAATGGAAATAATATTCCCCCAAATAAATATTCCCAAAAACAATTCACAAAACCAGACTTTTTTAGCAATTACAACTGACCATTTCCTAACACAGAGCCACTCAGAAAAGATTCTTTCTAAAAGAGTCCAGATCATTGGACTCCCAATATTACTAACTGGTACTGGTAAATTACAAATGTTTCTCATCTGAAGGAGTGTCTAAAAATCTGTTGAGAGGAATAAACCCTCGAAGAATAGCATCAACCTCTCATCTAACAATCAAAGGAAAAAATTGTGAAATAGTATTGAGGAGTCCCCCTTAAGAGAGAAGTAGGCTCAGTAGTTTCATTTAAAAGTTTCTGAACCCAAGTATTTTTGTCAATAAACAAGGATAAAAATACTCACTTCGCAGGACTTTTCTGAGGAGCTCATGAGACAATGCATACAAAGGTCCTACATGTTCTTTGGTATGTAGTATATGTTCAATAAATGTTTATTTTTTCCCTATAGTCTTCCTCCAGCTAAATGGTACTGATATGAGAGCATGACATTGAATGATTCCTTGTTAAAATGTAGTTTATTTTGTTCAGTTGGGTTTTACTTTTGTGATTTAATACGTATATTTAAAAGGCTTCGACAACATCTATGAATTAAGTTCAAATTAGAAGATAACTATGATTCAATATCTTATAGTAACACTGCAGATGCTGTACAAGCTAAAAACTTCAAAAGTGTTTGAAAAACAGAAGGTAGGAGAAGGAAAACAAACATGTGAAATTGTAGAGGAAGATCCATATGCCATTCAGATGATCCACTGGTGTCCAGAGAGCAGAATATTCTGTGTATCAGGAGTCTCTGCATATGTCATAATTTATAAATTCAGCAGACATGAAATTACAACAGAAATAGTGGTAAGTCATTTAAAATTTAACTTTCACACTTAGAGTTATTAAAAGAAAACAGTTATCATAGATCTTAACTAGTGCTTGGTATGGTTTTAAGCCACCAAGAGTACAGTATGTGGCCAGTAATCCAATTCATAGAATTTTTAATTGTTCTTGTTACTTATTATAACATATTAAAAAAAAATTTGGCTTAAAATGACAAAAACAGTTCTCTTTCAAAATTTAGTATTATTAAATAGGATAGATTGTGCCTATAGGTTTTATATAGATAGTTACTGATTTATTTTATATATAAATGTCAAATTAATGCAAGCTTTGTTCTATATCTTTATTAAATTTTTAAAAAATTTATCTTTTTGCCAACTAATTGCCATAAATGATTATTTCTCAACTACAATAAGATTACTTTGAATGATTTTTTAAATAGCAACATATTTGTAGGGTGGAAATAATTATGGGCCTGCCTTACGTAATCTTAATTTTTAAACTGATGAAATAATTTAATTATTCAAAATAATGATGCTCTCATGGGATAAATTAAATCTAACTTAAGGCACCTATAGATAATGGGTCTTCTCTACCCAGTCCATTTTACCATTTTATCAGAAAATAAAGATTATCTATTAAAGGCCTATGTATAACTGTTTTTACCTCAACGGCTAAAATTAAACATTGCCCTTAAAGTATATATTAGTTAAAACCCAGGCTTTGGAGTCAGATGAGCCTAGCTTTTAATTCTGGCTTTACCAATGAATATCTGTGTGATTCTGAACAAGTCACAAGGCCCATTAGTCAGTAGTACAGTCTGGGTAAGTCTCAACTTCATCACTCATATAACTTCCTGTGTAAATAAAATAGAAAAACAGAAAATAATCATAAACTAGAAATTGTAATGCCACTTTCATAGAGTTCTTGTGATGATTATATAAAGTCATTAGCAGAGTGTCTTAGTAAGCACTCAATAATTGGTAATTGTTATTGTCACCAGAGGTTTTAAGTTTTAAGATAATTATGACAATCATTTTGATAATATTGCTGTATTCACTACTCCATAATTACACTTTTTGTAAGCAATTGTTTTTAATCTCAAAAATGCTTATTTTTACATTGAAAAGTGAATGTTTATGTTATAAAATAGATTTTATTTGAGCATTGAATGCAGTCATAAAGTAATTTAAAAACATTTTCAGCTTTAAAAAAAAAGGGTGTGGATCACCTTTTTATTCCAGTATAAATTATCATATGTTTTTCATTAAGCAATTCTGACCAAGCTAATGAAATTATATAAGAGCTAAACTAATGAAACAAACAAAAATATGGAATTTATTTTGGAAAATTTATACTGAAGTAATTCAAAGTCAAGATTGAATGAAGGTTTTTTAAAGCTAAGAAGCTTTGTACAAATAACAATTTGTGTGTTGCGTGTGTGTGTGTTTTTACAGACACACACATCCAATTTAGTTTCTTTCATTGGAATAACCATGACCAGTTTCTCCTTTTATTTTATCATATATGGAATTGTAATTTATACTTTATCTTAAGGAATATTTATTATACAGAAAATTTATCTCCACTGGTAGGTATTTTCTTATAATTCTGAAGAATTAAAAAACATTTTAAGGACTTCCCTGGTGGTGCAGTGGTTAAGAATCCGCCTGCCAATGCAGGGAACATGGGTACAAGCCCTGGTCCAGGAAGATCCCACATGCCGCAGAGCAACTAAGCCCATGTGCCATAACTACTGAGCCCGTGTGCCACACAACTGCTGAAGCCCACGTGCCTAGAGCCCATGCTCTGCAACAAGAGAAGCCACCACAGTGAGAAGCCCGCACACCACAATGAAGAGTAGCCCCTGCTCGCCACAACTAGAGAAAGCCGTGCACAGCAACGAAGACCCAACACAGCCAAAAATAAATAAATTTATTTATTTTTTTAATTTACATTTTTTTGTGAATGCCACTGAATATTCTATATAATTTATTATTTAATTCAGTTTGGGGTATCTCAACTTTACTATGAATTGAACTAATTAATCTGAAAAAAATAATGAATAATTACTGAAAGAGTACCAGATATTTTAATGTGATTGTTATGAAAATCTAGGTTAAATCAAAACTTGATTTTTCTTTTTTTAAGTCATTAGAGGTACGACTTCAGTGTGATATTGAAGATATTATTACGCCAGAACCAGACACAAGTCCTCCATTTCCTGATCTCTCATCCCAGCTTCCTTCTTCAAGGAGTCTTTCTGGGAGCACTAACACTGTGGCTAGTGAAGGAGTAACGAAGGATAGTATCCCATGCCTCAAGTAAGAGTTGCTACCAAATTTTAAAACAATTTTACATGTTAATTGTATAATTCATTGAAACTGTACCAAATAAAATCATCCTCCTCTTTTATTAAGTTGTTGTCAAGTGGTCTACAGTCCACCAAGGGGTACCTTTGTCTTCTTTTTTTGGAATATCTATGAAGAGGGCACAATATTTCCATTCTTCATTACTAATTAATATATTTCCTTCCCTGACCGACCCTAAAGAAAACATAGCTTTGATAGAATGGGAAAACGTTTGGCAGAGCAGAAACTTGCCACTTGCCTGGTACTTCTCAACTGATAAAGTATTTTTAGGGAACGTCTTCAGCCTTCTTGTAATCCAAAAGTTAAACCAAGTTTACTACAAGAATACTATGTCAGAAAAAAGGCTTTTTTTCTCTCATGGTTACTAGGATATTGCATAATATTTCTTTCTCTTTTTTCAACTGATACTATTTTGTAATAAACTGCATTGTCTCAGTATATCTAAACAAATTTAGTGTCATGCTCAAATAAAACTTAAAGTTAATCAAGCCTATAGTGATGTTTATCTTGTTTTTATGCTTTCTGGTAATAGGGTACAAAAGAATGCAGTTTCCGTAAGTTACCACTTACTGCTTCTACATCGTCAAACCAAATGTTTCTAGTATTAGCTGGTTGGAGAATTTAGCCTAAGCAAGGAATTTCTCTGAGCCTCATATGAAACTATCTGAGTCTGCTACTCAAGAAACTGTGGATAACTAGTTTCCTCATTTCCTATAAAAACACTTATGGGAAATTTAAAGATGAGGTTTCAGGAGAAAAATAAGCTTACCATACAGTTAGCAGTTGCTGTACTTTTGTAATCATTGCTTCTGCCCCGCACCCCAAATTTTTCTTGTGAAATTAAAAAAGGAAGTATAAGTAGGCATTACTGAGAGGAAAATCTATGAAGGGGAAACAAAATCATTAAACTTTAGCAAATGGAAAACTTTCATAATGTTATAATTTTACACATTTAATTTTTCCTTCATATCACTTTGCTTCACTTAATTGATTTATATTAAAATGAAAGACAGAAAGAGAACAAAAAATTAAACAAAGCTTAAGAAAGCACTGTAGATTTATTAGCTAAGAAGACCCATCACTAAAGTGGGTCCTGCAATGACCTGAGTATTTTTCTATAAAATTTAAAAAATATAAAAGATAGGGATAAAAGAGAAAAACCAGTAAAATCAGCAGAAATCTGATAGTGGAGATGAAGTAAATAATACCACGTGTTGTAGCATTTAATGCAGACTTGTAAAGTAGTAGTGACAATCTTAAGGATTATCAAGAGAACCAAGGGGATTCAGTATAATCCTCTATGTATATAAGCTCCAAAGGACCAAGCAGCAGAAGTATATTATTCTTTGAGTTACAGTATATTACAAGTGGTTCTTGAGTTGCATATAATCTATGCTTTACTAAATTATATGTTGGCATCCATCCCTAAATGACTTTCCTTTGCTGGATTTAGATATCCATATATATAAGCTAATAAATAAGCCTTTCAATACTGCCAGCTCTTCATTTTTAGCAATATTACAATTCTTATCAATATACACATGTTTGTGCAATTATCTGATTTTCTTTTGACTTTGTATGAGGTCATCATAGGCCTCATTAGGAGGATGAGACTTAAACCAAATGTAGATGAGAGAGTTATCTGAAGAATATCTGGTGGAAAAGTATTCCAGGCAGCAGGAACAGCTAAAGCAAAGGTCTTAAAGTGCCTGGCATATAAGGAGGTCAGTGTAGCTAGAACAAGGAAAGGATGGTGGGCAGTAGAGGACAGGTAGTAGGAGATGAAGTCAGATGTGTAATAGAGGGCAAATTATAGGCCATTGTAAGGACCTTGACTTTTATTCCTAATTAAATGGGGATGATTATAGGGTTTTAAATACAGAAGTGATATGATCAGACTTAAATTTTAAACTGGTCACTTTGGTCACTATGGTGAAGGTAGATTTGGGGATGGAAGGGAAAGGTAAAAGATGGGAGACCAATAAGGAGGCTATTGCACCTACCTAGAGATAATGTTAAGGTCTGGCAGATTCAGCAAAACAGAAGAAAACAAAACAGAACAGGATACACTAATTTGAATTTCAGAGAAACAATGAACATTTTTAGTATCAGTATATCCCAAATATTACATGGGAAATACAGTAAAAAAAAAAAAACCAAATAAACAAAATAAACCCATTATTTATTGTTTATTTGAAATTCAGATTTAAATGGATATCCCATATTTTTATTTGTCAGCTGTAACTAGGATGGTAGCAGTACTAAAGTATTATAAAAAGTGGTCAGCTTCTGCATATATTTTGAAGGTAGCACCAATACATTTGATAATTGGTTGGATGTGAGATATGAGATGCAAGGTATAAGAATATTAGTCAAGGATTACTTTAAGGTTTTTAAACTCAATAACTAGAAGGATAAGAGCTGCTATCAGCTGGAATAGAGAAGGATGCAAGTGGAGCAAATTCATAGAGAAAGCAGGAATTCAGCTTTTGAATATGTTGAACTCTTAAGTTGGGTGGTAGATTAATGGTCATAGTTTTTATTGTTATGCATTATAACTTACATATATGTAACAAATATTATGTAAGAAAAATAAATAATAAAAATAATTAAAAATACTACTATCACAAGAGAAAAAGGAACTGATGAAAGCCAGGTGAAGTTGTGGATCTGACTGAAAAACTACTTAAAGGAAAGGCTAAGAAATCACAAGTGTCTTGGTTTATTTTGAGACAGCTAGAGAAGATACTGCCTACCTGCATAATGTCTTCAATGCCTGGTGTTGTATATTTCTGTAGGAAGATTTGTTGTAAATTCTGAAAATAAGCATGAACATACGTATTTGAACTGTATATGATGCAATTACTTTTTCTGTTTTCTAGTGTTAAGACACGACCAGTGCGGATGCCTCCAGGGTATCAAGCAGAACTTGTTATTCAGTTGGTCTGGGTGGATGGTGAACCTCCACAACAGATTACTAGCCTTGCTGTAAGCTCGGCATATGGAATGTAAGTAGTTAATAGTCTTCTAATGTGTACTGTTTATCTGATATGTTTGATATATTTAAATGTTTCTTTTAAAATACTTAAGTGAAATCCTAAAAATGGAAAGAAGCCCTTACCTGGATTTTTATTAGATTGAAAATGGTACTAAGAAAAATAATAATTTAAATATAAACTGTGATTCTGTGTTCTTTCTTGATGTCAAACTTTAATAGTATCCCCACTTTTAATGTTGTTGGGAGGTTGTTAGGATGTTAATACACTCATACATGTTTGTTTGTTTGCTTTGTCTTTTCTATCCTTTGCCTCCTTGTGTTTCATTTTGGATACTTTCTTCTGACTTGTCTTTAAAAGTTCACTAATTCTTCAGTGCTGTCTAATCTAATGGTAGATTGACTCATGGAGTTCAATTTCAGTTATTTTTTAGTTCTAGACCTTCCATTTGGTTCTTTTTAAAGCTTTCTGTTACCTTCTTAAATTATCACTCTTGTCTTTTATTTCCTTGAACATGTCAAATATAGTTACTTTAAATATGTGTTTGATAACTCCATAACTGGTTTCTAGCTTAGCATTTGTCTTGGTTTTTGGTCACATTATATTGTCTTCATGTAACCTACGTTTGCTTTTTGATTTTGTTTCCGTTTTGTTTTTTTTAATTCAAAATTATATGAACATTATATACTCCCATATATATATATATATATATATATATATATATATATTATAGAGAATATTATAGAGATAATTTGAGGTTCTAAATGATGTTATCATTCTCCAAAAAGTATTTTTCATTTCCTCTGACAGGCTAAACTGAGAGTCAGTAGAAAGTGCAGAACAGCATAATCCAGTCAGACATCCTGTCTTTGAAAGTTGGATTGTATTCCCTTTAAAAGCTAATTTAGTTCTAATTAATCCTTATTCCTAGGTTGTTGCCCTGCATAGAAGTTGTACCAAATTCTACTCCCACCAGCAATGTCTGAGAATACCTGATTCCCTACAACCTTTCTAACAATAGTATATAACCAAACTTTTAATCCCTGTCATTTTAAGTAAAAGGGAGTATATTATTATAATACTAACACTTCCCTTGTATCTTAAGTGAAATTGGACATCTTTTTCTCTATTGTGACATTTCTGTTTCTATTCTTTGTCCATTTTTTGGCAGAGTTGTTGTCTTTTAGATTTGTGAAAAATATTTACATAGTAAGTAAGTTAGCTTTCTCTGTGATGTAACCTATAGATACTTTCCTTTCTTTTGTTTCTTTTATGACTTTGTTTAGGATGGTTTTTTCCATGCAAAAATTTAAAAATTTTAATTTTTAAATTCTATTTTTTTCTTTTATGGCTCTGGATTTTGTGTCATACTTAGAAAAGCCTTTTTCACTTCAAAATAATGAAGAATATTGTCCTATATCATTGTTTCTTTAATATATTTAAGTCTTTATCTGGAGTTTATTTAGGTATGAGGTATGAAATAGGGATTAAACTTTATTTCTTACCTGATGACTAAGAGTTATGCCAATACCACTTCCTGGATATTTCATCTTTCCCCTCTAAATTTGGAATCATCTTTTATCAAATAATACATTAAAAAATATATATATTTGGCTCTATTTCTATACTTCCCAGTCTGCCCCTAAGCTAAGTCTCATGAGCTCTAAGAGAACTCCTTGAAGCCAGCTGAAAGGGTGAATACCTGAAGAAAACCTGTGTTCCTAGAATTTGGGGCGGGGGTAGATGTATGTGAATATGATATTGGGAGCTTGCTTCTTGGCTGAAAAATTCTTTGGTAGGAAAGCTGGCAGGAACAGTCCATGGATGAGGGGAGGAAAGGAAGGGAGTGTGGGGACAGCTGATAATCCTATTGTTTGATATGGCAAGAAGATATGCTTATCTTTTAACCCGGGTAGTTATCACTGAAGTTGGCTGAGCTCAAGCCATTTTCAGGGTTCCCTACTTAGAGACTGACCTACAAAGGCAAGGCAATGCCAAAATTAAGAGCTATGAAGGTGTATTGCCAGGTTCAGGAGCTGAAGGTTGTTGGAATAAGTAAGTCAGGTAGAGAGCATATTTCCCTTATAAAGTTACTGTGGGGTTGACAGTCATTACAAAGCCTCTGAAGAACCTACACTTGTATGAGAAAGCTTGGACGCCTGCCTCATAGATACTCTCAACTGCCAAAAAACTCCAGTTCAATTGGCTATCCATGTATATTCCACCAAAGTTTTAGGAAATAAGTAACAACAGTACTTATTTTCTTTCTGAGAACTTATTCCTCTTTCTGAGAATTGTGAAAGAAAAAAATCATATTCCTCTCATTTTATGAGGCCAACATAACCTGATGTCAAAACTTGAAAAGGGATTGGATCAAGATGGCAGAGTAGGAGGATGTGGAACTCATCACCCCCCACAAACAACTGAAAAATTCACCTACATGTGGAACAAGTCTCATGGAACTGGAAACTGTCAGAAGAATTCCTATACAACTAAAGCTGCAAGAAAGATTTCCATGTAACAGGGTAGGATGGAAAAAAGTCATAGGGTTGGGACCTCCACCCTGGGTAGGGAGCTGAAAGGTTGAGAAGGTCTGCACCTGTGGACCCTTACCCTGGGGGCTGAGTAGGTCAAGCCACAGACTGGAATTCCCAGTCCTGGGGCCCTACACAGAGGAGACAAGCCCCTCTGGCTGTAGATAGAACTGCCTGCCAAAACTGAATCAAGAAGAAACAGATAATTTGAACAGACTGATCACTAGAAGTGAAGTAGAATCTGTAATTAAAAAAACAAAAACAAACAAACAAAACAACCTCCCTGCACAGAAGTCAAGGACTGGATGGCTTCAGTGGGGAATTCTACCAAAATTACAAAGAAGGACTTATACCTGTCCTTCTCAAACTATTCCAGAAAATTGAAGAAGAGGGAACACTCCCAAATTCATTCTATGAAGCCACCATCACCCTGACACCAAAACCAGACAAATATACTACAAGACAAGAAAATTATAGGCCAATATCACTGATGAATATAGATGCAAAAATCCTTGACAAAATATTAGCAAACCAAATCCAACAATACGAAAAAGGATCATACAACATGATCAAGTTGAATTCATTCCAGAGTCACAAGGATGGATGGTTCAACATACACAACTCAATCAATATGATACACCACATTAACAAAAGGAAAGACAAAAACCATGTGATCATCTCAGTAGACAAAGAAAGAGCATTTGACAAAATTCAATATCCATTTATGATAAAAACTCTCATCAAAGTGGGTATAGAGGGAACATATCTCAACATCATAAAGGCCATTTATGACAAACCCACAACTCACATAATACTCAATGGTTAAAAGCTAAAAATTTTCCTATTAAATTCAGGAAGAAGACAAGGATACCCACTCTCACCACTTCTGTTCAACATAGTATTGGAAGTTCTAGCCACAGCCATCAGGCAAGAAAAAGAAATAAAAGGTATCCAAGTTGGAAGGGGAGAGGTAAAACTGCCACTATTTACAGGTGACATGATACTCTGTATAGAGAACCCTAAAGTCTTCACCCCAAAACTATTAGAACTAATAAATGTATTCAGCAAGGTCACAGGATACAAGATTAATATGCAGAAATTTGCTGCATTTCTATACACTAATAATGAAATATCAGGAAGAGAAATTTTTAAAAATCCCATGTAAAATTGCATCCAAAAAACAAAAAAAAAAAACCCTAGGAATAAACTTAACTGAAGAGGTGAAATACCTATATGCTGAAAGTATAAAACATTGATGTAGGAAATTGAAGATTATTCAAAGAAACAGAAATGTATCCCATGCTCTTGGATTGGAAGAATTAATATTGTTAAAATGGCCATACTACCCAAAGCAATCTACAGATTTATATGGAACCAGAAAAGACCCATAATTGCCAAAGCAATCCTGGGGGGAAAAAACAAGGCATACCCTTCCAGATTCTATACTATACTACAAATCGACTGTGATCAAAACAGTGTGGTAGGGCTTCCCTGGTGGCGCAGTGGTTGAGAGTCCGCCTGCCGATGCAGGGGACACGGGTTTGTGCCCCGGTCCGGGAAGATCCCACATGCCACGGAGCGGCTGGGCGCATGAGCCATGGCCACTGAGCCTGTGCGTCTGGAGCCTGTGCTTTGCAACGGGAGAGGCCACAACAGTGAGAAGCCCGCGTACCGCAAAAAAAAAAAAAACAACAGTGTGGTATTGGCACAAAAATAGACATATAGAACAATGGAACACAATAGAGAGCCCAGAATAAACCTACACACCTATGGTCAATTAATCTATGACAAAGGAGGCAGGAATATACAATAGAGAAAAGACCGTTTCTTCAACAAGTGGTGTTGGGAAAGCTGGACAAATGCATAGAAAACAATGAAATTAGAACATTCCCTCACACCATATATAAAAATAAACTTAAAATAGTTTAAAAACCTGAATGTAAGACATGACACCAAAACTCCTGGAAGAGAACATAGGCAAAACATTCTTTGACATAAAGTGTAGCAACATTTTCTTTGATTAGTCTCCCAAGGCAAAAGAAATCAATGCAAATGTAAAAGCTTTTGCACAGCAAAGGAAACCATCAATAAAATGAAAAGACAACCTATGGAATAGGAGAAAATATTTGCAAACTGTGCCTCCAACAAGGGGTTAATATCCAAAATATACAAACAGCTCATACAACTCAATATCAAACACACACACACACACACACACACACACACACACACACACACACAAAGAATCCAATTTAAAAAATGGGCAGAAGACCTAAATAAACATTTTTCTAAAGAAGATGTACAGATAGCTAACAGGCATGTGAAAAGATGCTCAACATCGTTGATTATTAGAGAAATGCAAATCAAAACCACAATGAGTTATCACCTCACACTAATCAGAATGGCTGTCATCAAAAGGTCTACAGATAATAAATGTTGGAGCGGATGTGGAGAAAAGAGAACCCTTATACAGTGTTG